ACTATAATATCACTGAAACTTTACAAAAACCAACTAATGGTGTTGGATAATTCATGGGGATACAGTTCTCGATTCTGAGTGCAGTTCGAATTCTGGTTATGAAAATCTTAGTTTGCATATTATACCATGACCATAGGACCGTCGTAACATGCATCAGTAGTAAAAGGATCGCAGTTTAAAGTCGGCATTAAAGAGTGAGGTATTTTTAATTTCCCTCCCATGAAAAGCAGATGCAGAGGCATTTCAAATGTCCGAAATGCTGACTTCTAGCTATTTAACAATGAACTGAGTTAAAGGAACGACCTGGTAGCTTTCAATCTCAGTGAACTTGATTTGTTTTAGGGTTCCGAATACTGTAGAAGCGATCAAATACTTAAGAACAACGCATTGAATCAAAATCTAAAATGAGCGCGTGAAATATTTACAAAAAATTCAATCAATGATGCTAAAATTAACCCTAACGTCACAGGCGGATGGGAGCCACCTTCAAAATTTTATATAAAAATCCGGTTCGTTAATTGCATACTTAGATTTTCCAGAAAAAATTAACTCCCTGTGGATCAGAAGATAGAGCGCTCGCATCTCAACGAGATAACCCAGGTTCGAATCCCAGTGAGGGCTGGTCGATACGAATTCTACTTCCGACGACAGTGCTAATATAAAATATTCTCAAGGGTTGATGGATCATGGGTTAGAGTTCCTTTGTCGTTAAACTTGCAATGAGAGGTTTTCCTCTCCATGTAAAGCAAATGCGGGTTACTTCCATCAAAAAGTCCTCCACGCAGGCTAATTTTCTAAAATGCTTGATCCAAACGTTACTCTCTTGTCTTCTGGATTGGGTTAAAATAACGAGGCTACAGAGTTAAACCCTGATGGTCGTAAACTTAAAATTGGTTCGGATTTTTTCACGACGGCTATAAAATAAAATAGAATAAGATAAAATAAAAAACGATTTTATGGTTTAAATTAAATTGGAAACATAATTCATTTTAATAGGTTTTTAAGATTTCAGTAAATATTCATGATATTATGGTTTTTTTCTTACTCAATGTCTGGCACGCAATCAATGTTGGACCCTATTCTCGATGATACGGTGGTTCTAAATACCGATATTATGGTTAATCATTGAACTGATTTTTCTGAGATACTAACAAAATCAAATATGTAATTCGTTTTATGAAATTATTCTTAAACCATCTATTTTACATGAAATAAAAGTCTAATCAACAAAAATAAAGTAGCGATTTTTATGCAAGCAATTACTATAGTTTTAAATTTGTTTTCCTTACAATTTGTTTTTTTTTTTTAAAAAAAAGTATTACTATTTTTTTCTTCATGTTTTATGCTGAAAGAAAGAACGGATTCGCCGAGAGGTTTTTATTCGGTTTGTTTTGCCTTTTTCAATCCAGGAGCAGTCTCCCTACCCCCAACCAGTGGAAAATAAGGCGAAAAATATGGCCACCAAAGCTATACTTTAATGAGCTCTGGGCCAGGGGACCCCCCAAAGGGGCATTAGTTTGCATAAATTAGTCCCAGGCAATGAGTTTGTCTCTTTTAGCCAATACGAAGCAGTGGATTGTAAAGCAAAACATTGGGGAGCGTTTCTAAAGTGCTCTCTTTTGTTTTAAGTCTTTTAGATATAAAATAAGAAATCTTACATTCTTAGCTATTTTGAAGAACATTAAAATATAATATTGTTAAGAATATACCAACCATACTGCGTCTTTAATATGGTGCTAAATTAAATGAATATTGCCCTAAATCTAAAACTTGATTTCCCAATATTATGGTTCAGTTTAATACTTCATTAAAATTCTGTAAATTTTGAACGGATTGTGGTTCAAGGTAATGGTTCAAAACTGAAACGATTTTTCTTAGAGTGCAGGGAAGGAACATATTAGTTACAATTTTTTGTGAATTACCAGAAAGCTAGCTTTAAAGTTATATCGAAAAACTAAAATGTTTACGAAACGTTTCTTCCTCAAATAACAAGATTTGTTTGTGCAAATTACACCAATATTTTATGTATATGTATAGTCTTTAATTTCACTTTCAGAAAAAATGTTTGAATGGTAAATCCTAATCTTTGTATTTTAAATGGTGCAAATTTGCTGCTATTTAAATAAGTTGTTGAATTGAACCAAGTTTTCGTTCAAGTTGAACACCATATTATAGCAGTAATCAAGTTTATGAAGTGCGATAATATGGTGCAAATAATGATTTTCTAAATAATATATTTCTCTTAGGTGGCGTCAAAAATCGATTATTTTTCTATCCATTGGCAACACTACAGTTATAATTAATTTTATTTTGTTANATCCGTCTACCACTGAGTATATTTTACGTTAGTATTGTAGTCAGGTGCGAGCTGGGTGCGGAATTCGTATCGGCCAACCATAGCTGGAATTAACCCACGTCACCGAATTGATAAGTGAGAGATGCTCATCGATGAGGTTTACTTTTACTTTGAGCACATATGCCTGCATATGTATGTGTAAAAATAAATAATAATCATAGAAATAATAATAAATAGGACTGAAAAGGTTACAGGTTCGTGTTCTGAAGTAATTAAAGAATATAAAGAGAGTACAAGTAAATTTCTTCAAAAAAATTAGATCTAAAGTCAAACTCAGATGTTGTGGTAATGAACCCACCACCTTATTTTTAAAATTGGGATGACATAAGTTCCTTTTTTATACAATCAAATTGTCAATCGAGCTCGTTTTCTCTACGCTACAGAGTGTTCAGCTGAATGCAGGTAGGTACTTTATTTACGTCTCGCTAGAACTGCGCAAATAGCTATTGAAGACGATCTAGGAAACATCCCTGAGGATGATTCGAAGACGTGCCATCACAATTTTGATCCTCAGCAGAGAGGAGGGCTCCCCCGTTTTGGCAGCCGTCGACCTGCGAGTGAAGTCGAGCACTTTACGGTAGAACAGTTTAACGCTAACCTATATTGCACAATCTCGATCCCTACGCAATTTGATCAAAATGGTCACCCACCTGCTTATTGACCTCAGCCAGTGATGCTTGACTTCGGTTTTCTACTGAAAGCCGTCCCGCAGTGGACTGATCGTTAAGACACGGTTCTCAGCAGATCACCGAAGTCAAGTATCACTGGCTATGGTCAGTGTGCGGGTGGGTGACCACTTGGATCAGTCTGCGCAGGGACCGAGGGTGTGCGGTATTGGTCCTCGTTAAACTGTGCTACCGTAAAGTGCTCGACTTCGCGTGCAGGTCGTCGGGCTACCGAAGCGGGGGTGCCATCCCCTCCGCAGAGGATCAAAATTGTGATGGCATGTCTTCGGATCATCCTCCGGGATGTTTCCCAGACCGTCGCCAATAGCCCATTGTGCAGCTCTAGTGCGACGTATATTAACAACAACAACATCTACTGAAAGCCGTGCGTTTACAATCAGTCCACTATCAGACGTCAAATTATTGAACAGGTATCCTAATTAGAGAAGGGTAGTTCAAAAATACATCCTGTGTTGCGTCGCAATTCGAACCTGCTGTCTCCACGCATCACAGCGTTTGGTTAAAAGACAAGGGGCCTTTCGGACCGAGCGGTATCGCCCGCTAAATGCTGTGCAAAGCGCGGGGGTAGTGAGTTCGAATCCCGCTGTTGCACTGGGTGTATCTTCAAGCTATCCTTCTCTGTATTGTGCTATCTTTCCTTCCATTGACAAAGGTTTCTATGCCTAAATTGAACACACAAGCCTGCAAATGTATGCAATTCCAATAAACCAATTAAAAGGCAAAACCATTTGGCGACGGAGGCCCTTTTGTCAAAGCTAAATGTTATTTCATTGATAAGATTTTTACTTTTATTTTATAACCATCATTTAACAGTTAACCCAATTTAGAGTTTACGACTACAAAATGTTTAACTGCATAGCCTTGCAATTGTGAACCCATTCCAGAAGCCTAGGGAACTCCTGGATTAAGTATTGGGAGAAATTTACCTTCGTGGAAGACTTTTTAATGAAACTACCTGTCCTATGTATTTGCGTTACATGAAGACGAAAGCAATGAAAACCTTTCACGATTAACCTGAGGGCAAGGGGACTCTAACCCATGATCCGTCTACCACTGAGTATATTTTAAGTTAGTATTGTAGTCAGGTGCGAGCTGGGTGCGGAATTCGTATCGGCCAACCATTGCTGGGATTAACCCGCGTCACCTAATTGATAAGTGAGAGCTCTATCCACCACGGCTCATCGAAGATGTTTAGTAAGTTTTAAGCTCCTCAGCTGATAATCACGTCATTAGAATGCAATTGAAATAAATTGCACATGATTTCGTTGGCCGAGTGGTATCACCCACCAAACGCACATTAGCGTGGAGGTAACAGATTCGAATCCCGCTAATTTCCCTGTGCTGTCCTTCTCGGAATTGTACTACTTGTATCTCTACATAAAAGGGCTTATAAGCCGTATTCATGTAATTGAGTACAGTAAGCGGGTATTTATTCTATTTGCGTATTACTAGAGCTGCACAATGGGCTATTGGCGACGATCTAGGAGCATCCCTGAGGATGATCCGAAGACATGCCATCGCAATTTTGATCCTCTTCAGAGGGTTCAGAGGGTACCAATGCAGACTCCTCTGCATTGGTAGCCAGACGTCCTGTGAGCGAAGTCTAGCACTTTACGGTTGAACAGTTTAACGGGGACCAATACCAAGCACCCTCGGTCCCTACCCAGGCTGATCAAAGTGGTTAGTCACCCGCAGACAGTAATGCTTGACTTCAGCGTTCTGCGAGTGCCTTGTCTTTTACGATTAGTCCACTGTGGAATTTATAAAGCTGAGCGAAGCGGGGGTGCCATCCCCTCTGCAGAGGATCAAAATTGTGATGGCATGTCTTCGGATCATCCTCAGGGATGTTTCCCAGACCGTCGCCAATAGCCCATTGTGCAGCTCTAGTGCGACGTAAGTGAACAACAAAAACAACATGAACAACAACATAAAGCTGAGAGCTCGAAGCACTTTCTACAATTTAATTAAATTTATTGCTTCGATAAGCTAGTTTTGAGCTATTCGGAAACAATCAGTCGGAATCTTATGCCTAAATAAACTAGTAAATAAACTTTTGTTTGTACCACTACTGAATTCATAGTATCCTTCAGAATCATGTTCAAACTGTTCTAAATTCGGAATTAAGTAAGAATTTTTTGTCTCTTTAATATATTTTATTTTATGACATCTGTGATTGCAACTCCTGTAATGCAAACTAATATCCAATATTAATAATCAATAGTTCCAAGTCTGCATGAAATATATTTAAAGCTATTATTTGTTATTTGACATTAATGAAAAAAAAATTAATTTTAAAATACGATTTCACTTATTTGATTTTTGAGGTATGAGGTATGATTATAAAAACTAAATGTAAAGACGATAGTATTTATAGTTCTAAATTTTTGAAATTACGTTTTTTTGATAATATTGTGGCATATGCAATACCGATATTCTATACAATACCTAGGCATTTTCTTTTCAGTCAAAGTATAAAATATTATAATTATTATGTACCTTACCAAGGCATTGTATATAATACTTTTATTTTATACTCTATATAAAAAATTCCTACAAAATATCAGCGTTTCCTAAGTTGCCTGATTCTTTAATTATTGCTTCAGCGATTTAACGAAAATTAATAGCTTCACATTATCATGTTTGTTCATATCCTCTTCTTATTTTGAATAATCTCTTTTTGAATAATCTTTTTGAATAATCTCTTCTTATTTTGAATAATCTAAACAAATTGTTTTCTTGACGCTTGGTTAAAAGCGAACTAAAATAATTTTTGTCCCTAAAAATATTGAATTTAATTTATTGTAAGAACTAGATCTTTACGAATATTCTGAACCCTTTTATCTAAATATTTGAAAGAATTAATTATAAAATTTTTGAAATTATTTAATTATATCTCATAAGCTATATGTTTAAATGATACATGGTTAACCAACTTTAATTGGCACAATCTTATCTGCTTTTGTAAGAAAAGAAAATTGGTTTCCACAGCCAAAGCTTTTGACTCGGTTGATTTTTGTATATTGTTAAATAAATTGGTTTATCTAGGTTTTCATGCGAAACTGACTGAAACGTTGTTTCTGTTAAGTCATAGATCTTTATATGCATACTTTAAAATTGCTATTTTTCGTAAGTTTATGGTAAGTTAAGGGCCTCCGCACTCGAATCTTTGTCATATTTTTTTCATTTTATTATAAGTCATCTCTGTTTTGTTTCTAAAAATTTTGAGTTTTGATTTTTTTGCAAATAATTTGAAATTTTCGAGGCTCATAAATACAATTTAGGTTGCTATTAGTTTGCATTAAAACTTAGATGTTTCAAAAAAATTAGAGTAATATTAAACATTTAGATAATAATATTGAAACATTTTCTAATGTCAATCTTACATATATGCCTCATAAATGAAACCAAAGATTTTACAAATTAGCAAACAAATTATTCCCTCCCCCCGTCCAATCTTGGAATTTCTTAGCATTATCAAGAACCTCTATATTAATAATAACATTCATTGTATAGGAAAAGTTCAAAGTAATTTTTTGCATTTTCTTCATCACATTCCCATCTTTTATCGGATATTATACACTCTATTTTAGGTGTTCCATCATTCTAACTATGTAAATGTATGACTTGTTTGCTATTTTTTATCTAAATAAATTAATCGTACCCGAGTTTTGATATGCTATCATTCGAACCTCGTAATTATGACTTATTTTTCTGTAAAATTCGGAATAGTTCGATTTATAGTTCCGATATTTCAAAAATGATTCAGACTTGAGTTAGGGTCACTACTTACGGAATTAAAAATTATTTGGGGATTTATTTTGTGAATATAATTATGTAATATTTTTTATTGGACACTGTCATTGAATCTTTTATTCGTAGTGTGTGTTTCTTTGATAAATAAATAATAATACCCATCATTCCACAAAACTATAAAGGCACCTTAGGGGCAAAGTATAAATAAAAAAAGGTCGATATTAGGCGATCAAGACGTTTATTTCTTAAAAATACAAATGCTATTTTCAAAAAATGACATTGTCTTTAAGGAGGCTTATAATGAATATTACTATCAAAGTATAAAGCGATGGCATTTTAAGAAATAGCTACGTATTTTAAAAAATACTGCGCATATTTGCTTTGCTGTTTGTCATTTGTCGTTCATTGCTTAAGAATTTCATAAAATATCTAAACAATGTGTAAAATGTTTAATAGTTTCGTATTTATTCCAGTTTTCGTCTCTCGTCAAACTCCTTGGTCATACGTTCCCAACCTTTTTCCACTCACCTCCCATTTTGCAAGACAAACTTTACTATATCGATTTTTACTAATCATTTATAGCCTTTTACTGATCAAAAATCTGCTTATTTGCCGAATAAAAATGAATGGTGTATTTTTTCGTTCAAAATATCACTTTTTACTTAAATTCGGTTAATTGATCTTTTTAATTGAAGATTGTTCCATTGTCTTAGATAATGATTCGTCAGATACTGATAACGATTTTTTTCCTAATAAAATATTAAGTTGAAATTTGTAACTATTGTAAAAATTGTTTGAATTGAAGAATATAAATATGCATGGTGTACGCATTCACCACCCTTAATACATGTTTATACTCTATTTTGAAAGTTAAATAAGAAAACTAAACTTTTGGGGTTGCAAATTAATATTTAAGGAAAAGAAAAACACGCAACCTAACTGAGATGTATCCTTCACGAGGAATATAAAAGTTACAAACATTTTCTTTAAAAACATCATAAAATATCACCACTTAAATTTTTCAATATTTTGTAGAAAGTGAAAAATCATGTTAAGTAAATAAAATTAGAAAAACTGGAAAATTGAAGCTGTTTTAATTCAAATATTTTAGCAATTCTGAACGTAAAATTCGAGTTATTTTATGCTAAACCACCATCATATTAAAACGGAATGTAAAGCAATTTAAAAATATTAGTTTTGCTACGTCTTTTTTTCTTCGATTAAAACAATATTTCATAAGATACTCGAAATATTTTATTGAACTCCATTCCTTATTAAGTCCTTTTTTCGTCTCAAAAAATTTAAACCAATTTAAAAAAATAATAATTTCATTTATAAAAAAACCCCTCATTAGTTTATACATCTGCTTGAAACATGATTTAATGTCTCTAATCTAAAACATTAATTAAGAGGCCGTCAAGTAAAGATGAAATTATTTCTCTCGCGTTAATTTAAAACTAATTCAAATCTCTTAATTTAAGTGCACATTTACTCTTGTCAAGATATAAAAAGAGATTAAGGAAATTGATTAAAAGAAACATATAAAATGCTCGATATGTATCTAGAATTTAATGAGCTTAATGAATGTATTGAAATTAAAAGCGAATCAAGATAAATAATTTTTTTTGAAAGTGCCTAAAGTGATTTATTAAATTACTAAAATATCGGAGTTTATTTATTCAATGTGAATTTTAACGATTAATGCATGCATTTGACAGGAAATTGCCTTCGGCAAGTTTGATATAAATCTGCATGGCTTGAAAACGGAAATAAAATGCTCATAATATGAATGGTGTGAATATTCCTCACTGTGAGAATTATGGAATGTATCAAAGAATGAAAAATTCAACTTATAAGTTCGAGCGCGGTATCAAAACTAGATCCGGGGTGCGATTTTCCAATCCAGCTGCGTTTAACGACCCGCTCTCTTGCTTGGCGTTTTTTTTAAAAAAAAAAATATTCCTGAATTTGTTTTGTGGAGTAAAGCTGCATCCAACTCTTTTACTGTTTCATGGCAAGTTTGGGAGAAATTTTTTTTTCTTCTTTACACCATTTTCTTTTTTAATATCGTAGAAAATCTCGTATACTAAGAATGAAGTCAAAATTCGTCTTTTTTATATTCGCTACTATTAGAAAGAGGTAATGTTTAATGCTAATTTAAGTAATGTTCATGCTTTACTCTTTTACGGATTATCTTTTTTCAAATAAATATTGGTTCGAGGACCTTGAGTCGACCTTATTGCTCAATTTGTGTATTTCTCCCCATTCTTTTCCTTTTGTTTTAGCGCCAAACACGCTTTTTATTTTCCCATCAGATACAGTTTATAACATTTTCTTGCGTTGAGTACTTAACATCCTAAGTGTTCATAGAGGACCACTGTAGCTTTTTATTTATTAAGACGTCACTGTCATTTATGTCTCATATTTTATCTGATTTTAAAATAGTTTACATTGTTTGACAGTCTTTGCATCAGAAAGGTCCTGCGTTCGAATCCCGGGCAAGGCATGGATGTCCTCTCTCCTTTGTGCAACCACAACCCTATAAACGGGTTGTGGTTGCGTGAAATGGCGTGGCAGAAGTCAAATTCATGGCCATAGATGGTGCCACTGAAAAAAAGGAACAATCGCACCCCCACTGCCTAAACAGACATATGACAAAGAAAAAAAATTGTTTGACAGGACTGTACAGCGGATAACACACCATATTCTTATCAAGTCTCCCAGAGCATTTACTGATTTGTATTCTAATACTGTAATTTTCTTTTATTCCTTACTGCAAATATTATATTTGCAGCTAAAAATCAAATTATTACGAGATATTCACCTACCTGAAAGTCTAAGGTTATCTGCTGCTTTGGAAACAAGAGTAAAACCATTTTTAATGGGAGTGATATTTAACGAATAAAATGACTTTCCGAATCCAAACTAATGAGAAACTGTTAAATAATCATCCTTATTTTAAGTGATTTATCTTCGTAACCACAGTAACCAGCAACGTGTGAGTCAACTAGAGGTGTTCTTGTGATAGCTGAACAATACTGATAGTGCTTTTAACTATGAGTTTCCAGAAATTATTTCTTGATTGTAGATTTCTTCTTTTAGTTCAGGTTTGATATGATGCCACTAATTTCTACTTTTTCGGCAAATTAAAACCTGTTTTAAAAAAGAATCCATAATACGATCCATTTTTAAAACAGATTTTAATTTGCCTGTTCTGATTTTGATTTAAATGAATCTGTTCTGAAGCCGTATTGGGCATGGAAATGTATTCTGCTCTGATTTGCTTTCTTCTAAAACCACCGTTCTCAAGGCTACCAAGATTTCTCTTTTTCTCCCTCATTAATTTACTTTATAATTTATTTCTTGTCAAC